TCGCCCGAGCGCCCCAGTCTTTCCGACACTCCAGAGCTAGTCTGGAAACAGGGTTTTCTGCTTTTTCCTCACCACTCAACTGACTCTCTCCTCTCTTCTTCCCGGGTTCGCAGAGGGACAGACTCCGAGGCTGAGTACCCCCAATGCCCTCTCGCTTTGCTATTCTGGCGCCGCTGTTTCTCAGCTACACTTGGCAGGAAATTAGCTTGCGGGCTGGGCACACCCGGCTTCGGGGCTCGGGGGAGTTAGTGCCTCCCCAGGCCCCCGACCCCCTGCCGCATCCTTGCAGGCTCGCGGGAGGACGAGCCGCCTCCCTCCGCTCCCGCCCTGCGTTCCCTCGCCGCTGAGCCCTCCTCTGCCGCTGGGCTGCGCGCAGGGGACTCAGGTCCGCGCTGCAGCAAAGATCTCTCACCAGCCAACAACCAGGGAATCTGGAGAACCGGAGATGGGAATGGCTGAGGTGAAGGGGCTTTGGGAGCCAGAGGACTGCAAAAAAGGGCAGAGGGCAGCACTTGGGGCGCGCCTGCAAGGTCAGGGCTGAAGATGATTAAATTGAGGGGATGAAGCTGAGGAAAGACCAGAGAAGTTGAAAGATCCCAGGCAGAAGAGGGGAGAGAGGTTAGTTTAAATAACAAAGTTTAGGGTCATAGACAGGCTGAGGAAGAGACTGAAGAGTGAAAATGGAATGGTCCCACTGATATTTTCTCATGATGTAGAACCATAAATAAAAAGGAGAGGGAAAACACAGCAAACTGAATAAAGTAAGGACAGTAAGTAAGGAACTCCATTCTTCCCAGCTGGTCATTCAAAAGGAGACCTTGTCTTTGTTCTGTGGTCACTTCAGAAGCAGAGGAGGCAGATGGCAGACGTGGAGGTCATGGAAGGCTGGTGATAAGGTCAGTCTTCAGGGCAATGGGCACAGGTGTCTAACAGAGAAGCAGAGTATTTGTCACCCAAGTCTCCTCTTGGCTCTGGCGGTGGGATACTCTACCCTCTTGTTTGTTACCTCTAGGAAGTCTTTAAGGCTTCATTCCTGGTGTAATTACTTGGGAGGAAGAAAACATTTTCCTACACAACCTTAGCGGGCGCGCTCTCTTGCTCGCGCTCTCTCTCTCTCTTTCTGTAGGGCCATCTTCAGGATTCTCTTTTAGATAAGTGGCCCATACTAGGAGCCTGGGCCTCCCCAGGGCCAGTGATTTTGGTGGCAATAGACTTTCTGATTCTGTTTGGAAGTCTTCTAAACTGAGCTGTATGTGAAGCATCCAAACCCATTAAACTGTGAGTCAGAAACCTCCAAGTGTTTGTGTATCTTCACTGCTCTTCTGGGTATCATTTGAGTTGAATGTTACCATTTGGAAAATGGGATGCTGGGTCAATACCACTTTGAACCAAGCTTCCAAGTAGTCATTAGAGTTTAAGAGTAAGGAGCAGAGGGTAGTATCTTCCATTAAATTTTACAACTATCCGAGTGTATCTGAAATTATGCTTGGGTTAGGAGAGGGCTGACTGGTTGATATGGAATTTTTTTAAGGAAGAATTTTGGAAACATACACTATGAATTCTTCAGATAAGCTTTTATTAAGACATCACCATTACCTGTATTTAGAGTTTGTAGATGATATTTAAACATCATTGTTAAAATCTCAGAATGCTTTTCTATGTAGTTCCAAATGTTGCTTTTTAAATTACAACTTTTTTGTAATCTTCTAATATCTGCTTTTATGTTACATTTCACCAGATTGTTATGACAAAACATAATAGTGAGTAATTTGATTACACAAATCATATATTTGTAATTTTCATTTATAAGACTTTGGTCTTGCAAGTCAAGTGGGATTTGAAATATTTTCTTCTTGTCTTTCCTATTAATATGAAAATCAAGGCTTCAGATGCTATCATTGAGCTCTTAAGGGGGTAGATCAATAGGCCACATCAAATTCAGGATGAATTTAAGGAAGCTAAAATTTCAAAACACACTAAGCCATCAAATTCACCACCTATTTGGTAACTTACAAAGCTCTCCTTATATTTGAAACAGCTACTAGTTTTTCTTCTTATAAAAATTTTTAAATGTGCCTTTCTGTATGATGTGATGCTGTATTGGCATAAATGGCAGAACACATGCTATTCGTTAATATTTTATATATTGTGAAAATATGCACAGTAGAAGATATATTACTTAACAATCTCTGCATATACAATTCAATGACAATGATTATATCCTTTAGGTTATGCAAACTTTCTCACTTTTCTTTTCTGAATTGTTCAAACATCGGGATGATTCCTGTATTAATATAACCACAAATAGCACAATTGTGTTTTTTCAAAGTACTTTGCCTTTTTGTTTTCTGTTTTTCCAATTAATTCATGTCTACATTTTTAAATGAACATCATCTATCTGCCCACCAATATATGTGTCTGCACACACGTAATGCCTTCACTTATTTGCTCAGACTGGTCTCCGAGCTGCAGTAACAGGGAAAGTGATTTAGAGTTTGGGAGGAAGGAATAGAAAAAAAAAAAACAAGCCGGGCCAGATTGTACACATCCATAAATAACAGAAATGACAATCAACAATGCTGAAGACAAAACAGTGAAAATTAAAAATGTGGCTGGTAAAGGTAGGGCTGACACCTGCCTGCACTTTTCATCCTGAGCATCTGATTCTCTCAACCGTTTTATAAATATGGCTTGTCATATGCCTCCTATTACTTCAACTGGGAGTTTACATATGAAAAAAAATCACTTGTGCCTCTTTTTGGAAAACTTGTGCAGGTATAGGTAAAATATTCTTCTCTAGCAGTATAAAAATTCAAAGGTTTATTACTAGTTGGGACAAACCAAAGACATAATGTGTTTTATTTCCACTACTTTTAAATTACTCTGATAGCTTCAAAATTTCATCAACTTCTGTTTGCTAATGTACGTGATTGAAAGTATTGTACCTTAAGATTATTAAGGTACTTTTCAATTCCCCGGATCTCTGCCAGCATTCTGCTATAGGAAAGCTCCATACTAAGAGTTGTTGTTGCATGCCATCGGGTTGGAAACAACTCGTAGCTGACCCTCCAACAGGTTTTCAGAGACAGTAATAGCTCGGGAGGAGATTACTCATCCTTCTCCTCTGAAGCAGCTGGTAGATCCCAACCATGTAGATCAAGGAGATAAGGCTGTTTACTGAGGCAAAACTGAGAGTATGTGTAATCACTGCTTTACTAGGGGATTTTGGGCATGCCATTTAAGAGTTAGAGGTAATTTCAAGTTTGATCCTTGAGTGGGTGCTTTAAAGAAGGTCTTAAGAAAACAGAAGGATGGGGATTATTTCAGTTAGGATAAAGAATTTAGGAACAGAATGGCAGGTTTACTAGGAGTTAGATTGTCAACAGTTTATTCCTGTGGAAATAGTTTATATTGTTATATCATGTCTTGAGCATCCACAATGTGTGTTTACACTTGAAATGCTGGAGATATAAAGTTGAATGACACAAAATTCCTGCTATTATTAGAAGGATTCTAATATGCATTGATACTAATGTGCCAAGTCATCCTATCTCACAGGAACACAATAAGACAGACTCTAAGTGGCCAGAGGGTTTCAAAAGCTGTGAATCTTTACAGAATCTTTACAGAAGCCTCCCTCTTAGAACAACTAGTAGTAGATTTGAACTACAGATTTTTTTTTGTCATCAACCAATAATTTTAACCACTGTGCCACTGGATGCCCTATAAGACTTCTCTAGGTATTGATGAAGACTCGCCAAAAGGTAATTTTGCTCAAGGCCATGTTCTTAGTAAATGAAAAAGCTAAGAAATAGTAATGGGATGCAAGTCAATCTGTCTTTATGAAAACATGCTGAGTTAATGGCTTAAGATGCAATAAGTGTAATTGGAAACGAAAACTAGAAAAGAGTATTTTGAAGAGTACTTCAAGGATTGGAAATTAGCGTACTACTAACTAGGTTCAAATTATATTTTCTCAAGTTCCCATGTGTGTTACTCTGGTTACATGATCTTCTATTGTAATATAACTATGTCAGATTTTAATGCAATTGTGGCACAAAGACTGTTTTTATTAGGTGCTGTTGTGTTGAGTCTAACTCTTAAGAACCTTTTATGTACAAGAGATCTACACCTCACCCAATCTTGTATTGTCCTCAATTTCTCTACCATGCTTAAACTCATTATTTCAGTCAGTGTATCAATCCACTATTTTTTTGAGGGTCTTCCTCTCTTTCAGTGATCCTCCACCTTTCCAAGCATGACGGCCTTCCTCATTTGGTCCCTCCTGATCACTGGCCTAAATTACAAGACAGAGGCTCACCATTCTTGCCTCCATGGAACACCCTGTCTGCATCGCTTCCAATACCAATTTGTTTATTCTTTTGGCAATCTGTGGTATATTCAATACTCATTCCCAGCATCAAAAAGGTATCAATTCTTCAATCTTACTTGTTCATTATCCAGCTTTCACATGTATTTGTTGTCACTGAAAATACAATGGCTTGAGTCAAGAGTACTCTTGATCTATAACTTAACCTCTTGGAGTTTTAACATTTTTAAAGATGTCCTTGACAGCTGCCTTGCCCAATTCACTATATCATTTGATTTCTTGACTGCGGCTGCCATGGATGTTGATGGTAGATGCAAGTAGCATTAAATCCTTGATAATGGCAATTTTTTCTCCATTTATCATGATATTTTTTTAATAGTCCAGTTGTGGGGATTTTTGTTCTCTTAATGTTGAGGTATAATCCGTGCTTAAGGCTATAATCTTTGATCATCTTCAGTAAGTGGTTCTAGTCCTCTTTTGTTCAGACAGCAAGGAAGCTGTCATCTGCATAATGCAGGCTGGTGCTAAGTTTCTCTCTAATTCTGATACCTTATTCTTCTTTACACAGTTCAGTTTCTCAGATTATTTAATCGATAGACAGGTTGAATAAATTGGCAAAAGTATATGATTCTGCTGCACATGTTTCCTAGTTTTAAACTATGTAATGTCTTGATTTTAAACCATGCCCCCAGAGCAGCAAAGACTAGGAATATTTATCAATAAAGTTATTGTTGTTGATGATTGCCATCGAGTCAAGTGCGACTCTATGAACAAAAGATTTAATGCTTTCCCATAATTGTTGTCATTTCTTCAAGGTCATAGAGTTTGCATAGATATGTGGTTTAGGAAGTGGATGCCGCTCCTGCTTCCAATATACAGTTGCCAAAAATATGTCACTAATTTTGCAATAAAGGAATGCTCTAAGGATAATATGAGAAAAAACAAAATGTCTAACAGCTGACTTGGAAAGAATTAGAAAACAAATAAGAACAAAAGAATTTGAACTGAACCTTTCAGAATGTGTAATATTGAG